ACTATGCTGCTGATAATTGGTCAGAAAGAACTCAAATAGAGTCTGAGCTTTTCTCAAGACTTAGACTACAGTTGGGGTGCCCCCTTTAGACTGCAGCCTCTAGAATTTAGAGCTTTAGATTTTAATCTCTAATGCAGTCTATCCACTTCTGAAGACACTGTTTCCATCTCCTTATGCCTTCCCCAGAGAACTCTGCGCTCTTCAATTTATACCAAGCCAAAATGGTAGTTTGGGCATTCTCGAGAGATTCACATTGTGTTCCTTTGAAATGATCTTTGAGTTTCAGGACAAAAACCAAGTGTGAAGGGGCAAGATTAGGGCTAGAGAGTGGATGGGGTGAGGTTTCCCGAGGGAGTTCTTATAAGACAGCTTGTGCTACCTTCAATGGGTGAGCAGGTATACTGTCTGGGTGGGGAAAAACCCCAAAATCTTTAGCCCAACTCTCCTGGCCTTTTTCTCATTAACACAGGTTCTGATTATCTTAAATCTTCTTGCTAATAAGCCCCCATGATTGCCCTGTGCCTTTCAAGAAAATCTTTTGAGATCACCCCTTTGGAGCCCCAAAAGGCAGTGGGCGTAACCACCTGAGCTGACCTCTCTGCCTTGAATGTAACTTGCCCAGCAGATCCCCTCGGACGTCCCTAGACTTATTAACTAGACTTTTCCCCCTCTCTTTTTAAGTCACTCTAAGGTGACCCAAGCAAGTGTATTTCTGAACGAACTTGTCTTCAGACATTCACTGATCCTAGAGACACATTCAAGCAGGGTTTGTTTGGAATAAACCTGTGCACGCAGGAACTGAAATCCTAGTAACAATTCTTTTGGATTCACAGATGTAGATATAGTTGCTCCTGTTGCTGAGTGAATGCACTGAATGTTGTCCTGCTACACGATACTCAAAACTCCCAAGTAGGAGAATATAAAGGAGGATAGATTTCACTAACTCACACCGAATAAGCACTCAAATGGGTCCGGGCAGGGTGGAACTGACCTGATTATATTTAGTTAGCACATAAATATTACAGTACCATTTCATGTACACAACCTCATCAGAGACTTCAAGACATCCAGGGCGGGGGACACTGGTGTCATCCACTGGTGTTTATGTGGGGAAGGTGATCACACAATGATGGTTTTTGTTCTTTGGTGTCTGCTACCTGATCCATTCAACACCTCGTGATCACACAGGCTTGTGTGCTTCTTCTCTGTGGGCTTTGTGGCTTCTGACTAGATGGCTGCTTGTTTTCCTTCAAGCCTTTAAGACCCCAGACACTGTATCTTTTGATAGCTGGGCACCATCAGCTTTCTTCACCATGTTTGCTTATACACACGTTTGTCTGAGACTAAATCTTTACGAGAGCAAATAGCCTCATCTTTCTCCTATGGAGTGGCTGGTGTATTTGAACCACTGACCTTATGGTTAGCAGCCGAATGCCTAACCCCCAGCACTACTACAGGTAGCTCCTTCTCTTACTTCTAGTTTCTTTAAATTAATTGGTCTGTGAATTTTGTGTGGTGTTTACTTGTTGGGTTGCTAACCACAAGGTCAGCAGTTCTAACTCACCACCTGCTCTTTGGGAGAAAGATGGGCTTTCTACTCCCGTAAAGGCTTACAGTCTAGGAAACTCACAGGAGGCAGTTCTACCTTGTCCTAAAGGGTCACTATGAGTCAGCATCAACTCCATGGCAGTGAGGGGAGGGGGGTGCAGGGGGGTTAAAGCAATGAGTTGCACCTTGAACTGCTAAGCAAAAGGTCTAGGGTTCAAACTCCCTAGCTGCTTGGAAGAGGAAGATGTGGCAGCCTGCTTCTGTAAAAGACGTACAGCCTCAGGAAGCCCATGGACCGTTGTGCTCAGATCTGCAGGGATGCTGTGAGTCAGTGAACTTGGCAGCAGCGGGTTGCGGGTCAAAGTATTGTCCCAGGAGCTTGATAGACATTATTTCACACGATTCTTTTCTAGATTGACAGGTCTTTCTTTATAGCCATGCACAGTCTGGATGATCCCTCGAAACATGTCCCTCCTGTTGAGATTTGAAATGCTGGTGGCATCGTGTCCAGCTTGATAGCAACATGCCTGCCACCGCAGTATGAAAAACTGACAGGCCGTGGCGTTCTGCTTTGGAAAATTAGCCAATGAAAACCTTATGGGTCACAAAACTGTTAGCTGGTGCAGTGTTGGAAGTTGAGCCCTCTAGGTTGGGGGAGCCCCCTTGGCTGCAACAAGGAAATCAAGCATGCCAATGATCCTGGAGATGGGGGGCATTTTGCTTGGTCATCCTGGTGGCAAAGCGAGCTACACGTTGGGCTGTTAGCCTTAAGGTTAGGAGTTGGAAATCACCAGCTGCTCTGCAGCAGAATGAGGAGGGTTTCTAGTCCAGCTAAGAGATACAGTCTTGGAAACCCACAGGGACAGTTCTAGCCTTGCCCATGAGGAGGGTTTCTAGTCCAGCGAAGAGATACAGTCTTGGAAACCCACAGGGACAGTTCTAGCCTTGCCCGTGAGTTGGAATGGACTCGTTTGTGGCAGTGGGTTTGTGTTTGACCCTGGGGCCACTAAGCGTGGAAGCAGATTTGCTTATGTTAATAGCAAGAGCAACAATTCCTTCACGTTTGAACACAGATCCTGGAGACAGCCTTGCGCAGGGAGGCCCTTGTTCAGTTCACAGGAATTCTTGGCCCTTTGAAAAGCTGCTGAAGACTCCATGCCAGACTTTGGGTGACTGCAGAAGAGACGTTTCTTGGCCCTCTGACTTCATGGTTAGAACCCTGCCTGATCGATCTCCTTCCGCGTGCTTGGCCGTGTTATCCCATGTCATCTCCCATTGAGTTCATCCTGCCTTCTGCCCATGGCCTCCTCACACCACCTAGGTAGATGGAGGCAAGCCTTCTATTGAACACTGGGTGGCAGGGCTAAGATGGTGCAGGATTTCCTTCTGGGCTGGTGCAATCGGACCGTTTGTTGGGCCCGGCTGACTGCACGTTAAGAGAGCCTTGACGGTCAGTGGGTCACGGTGTTTGTCCAGTGGTGGCCAAGGAGAGCTTTTTTTGGATGCTTTAGGAGGGTTTGTGTTATGGCCATGCTGCTTCCACATGCAGCCTTCTCGTGCCCACTTCTTCTCTGCCGTGGAGCCTTCCCCCGTGCTCGCGACAGCTTCGTTCTCTGCCCTTCTCACCCAGGCCCCCTGCCCAGCCTTCTGGCCTTCTGGAGCTTTCCCTGACCACCCACTCCTTCCCAGCCCCGAGTTCCTCTCTCAAGGTCATTCTTTTTATTTCCTGTTTACACTCATGAATCACCCTAATTGTTTATCACTGGCTAATGGTTTGTCTTCTCTGCGAAATCGTAAGCTCTGAAAGGTCAAGTTCTCCTTTTCATTCCCGGTTATACTCTAACCCCAAACTCATTGCCATCGAATCAGTTCTGACTACACAGACCTTCTAGGACAGAGCAGAATTGCCCCCGAGAGTTTCTAAGCCTGTTACTTTTTACACAAATAGAAAGCTTCATCTTTCTCCCACACTGCTGTACTCTCATGCCTCCATCCCCGCTATGATATTGTACGTCATTCTTAACTGGGTGACGGGCCCATAGTAAACCAGGTCCATCAAGTTATTCCCACTCTTTATGGTCCCAGATGTGTCAGCGTGGAATCACGGGCTGTACAGTTTTTAGTGACTGATTTCTTGCCTGGAGTTTGCCAGGTCTTTCTTTCAAGATACCTCTGAGTGGACTCCAACCTTTAGTTTTCCGATTACCAGCTGAAGGTGTGAACTGTTTATTCCACTCAGGGACTCAGCCTGCTGAAGGTGTGAACTGTTTATTCCACTCAGGGACTCAGCCTGCTGAAGGTGTGAACTGTTTATCCCACTCAGGGACTCAGCCTGCCTCCCACTCCAACTCCTCTGCCAGTGACTTGATGCCAACTCACAGTGACCCTACAGGGTGGGGTTGCTGAGTCTGTACATCTGTCTCGGAACAGACAGCCCACCTTTCTCCGGAGGAGCAGGGGGTGGGTGTAACCACGCACCTTGAGTTCAGCGGTCTAACATGTAACCTACTGTGCCATCAGAGCTCCTAAAGTGCTCAATAAGTATTTGTTGAATGAAAGAATTAGAGAAGCCTCTGTCAGCCAGGGGCCTGGCAGCCATAGACTTCCTGCCAATCAACCTTGCCCTGTTTATGGTGCCTCAAACTGGCTTTCACCCAAGCAATCCATTCAGACTCAGAGCCAGTCACAGGGCAGACTAGAATGGCTCCTTCAGGTTTCTGAGACTGTGGGTGCTTAGGGGAGTACACAGCATCATTTTTTTCTCCCAGGATCTGCACCTGTTCCAGGAATCTTTCTTGTGGCTGGTGTTAGCACTGGCGAAATGACCTCAGACTTGCTGCCCTCTCCTCGTGTCCCTGTGTGGCATGAAGTTACTGTTGTTTCTGTGAATATCTCTTTAGTGAATTCAATCAGAAATGCATTGGGGGATCTGCCACCAGAAAGAACAGATTCTTTGCTGTGCCTTTCTTGGGGATATGTAGGACTACTGGCAGAGCCCCCAAAAGTCTGTCTGTCCGTCCATCTGTCCGTCCATCCATCCATCCATCCATCCATCCATCCATCCATCCTTCTCTCTAATTCTCTCTGTCCACTCACCCAGCCAGCCAGCCATCTATGGCTATCCACTTAACTATAACTGTGTACTAGGTGATATGATAGGCCTCTAAAGACATACAAAGGAACAGTTTCTACATTCAAGGGAGTCTCTGTGCATTAGCGAGATAAGACAACCTCACAAGATAATAGCCACCAGCACAGAAAGGTAGTGAGCAAGTCCAACCAATAATGGCTGCATTGCCGTGCAATTGGCGCACGGGTGGTGTACACTAGTGGGGGCAGGGGGGCTCTCTGGGATTGAATGCAGGTTTCAGAAGACAGGCTTTGGCCTTGTGTCTCAGCATGCATTACTCTGTGGCTTCACACAGTGGTCACTGTCCCTTCTGGTTTTGTAGGTCCAGCCAGCAGATGCTCCAGTACTTCTTTGGCTACAAGGAGGGCCGGGAGGCTCTTCGATGTTTGGCCTCTTTGTGGAACACGGACCTTATGTTGTCACAAGCAACATGACCCGTAAGTGCTGCTCGGACTACATTTTTCCTACGGCGCATTATTTATCGGAAGCTCCTATCTGCTCCAGAAATAATTTAGAGTAAACACTGCACCACTCAGAATGGCTCAGCAGTTCCAGGTTATAAAAACACAGCCGTCTGGCAACGTCTGTCCGAGCAGGAGGACACCCCAGAGGGAAAGTCCTGCCTGGGCTGCTTTCTCCTTTGAAATCTGGGTGAAAGATTCTAAGCTGGTTTCAAGGAATCTGGTACTGACTCAAGCAACCCCAACTTCATGGAACCACTCGGTTTTCATTACTAGTTGGGAGAGTTCACTGTGTGGGATTCCTGGGTGGAATAATAATCTGAATTGTTTGTGGCTCAGTCACACAGAGAGTCTGGTATCTTGGAAGCAAGCTACTTCTAAGGATTGGGGTTAAGATAACAGAAACACAGAGATGGGACAATCCGGATTTTTCGTCTAGCTCGGTTTTGTTGTTGTAGTTGTTGTTGTGTTTCATTTTGTGGAGATGGTTTACTTTTCCCGTGTCAGAATCCGCGGGGGATTCAGCATGAGCGTTTCTCAGCCAGTTTCCCTGGGACTGTGGCAGAGAAAGCAGATTCAAGAGGCCTGGATGTTACAACCAAGCAAACATAGACCACCAGTTGCCTCAGGCCAGGTCTGCCTCAGACGGGTTTCGTGTGTTCCAGAATGAAACTGCTCCCTTGTGTTTTGTTGCTTGTGATTTTTCTGAAGCAGACCGTCAGGCTGGACGGGTTTGAACCACCGAACTTGTAGTTTTTCAAATTGTTTGCATTACCCTGGGACCTAATGGATGGGAATTAAACTCCACTGCCATCAAGTCGGTTGTGATTCATAGTGCCCCTGTAGGACAGAGTAGAATGGTCCCACTGGGTTACATACCTGTACAGTTTTACATATATAATGTATATATAGAGATAGATATAAATCTTTATGGGAGCAGAAAGCCTCATGTTCTTCTGCAGAGCCTCTAGTGCAGCAGTTCCTAACCTGTGGGTAGCAACCCCTTTGGGGTCAAATGACCCTTTCACTGGGGTCGCCTAAGACCATCAGAAAACATGTATTTCCAATGGTCTTAGGAACCGAGAGACCGCTCCTCTATTGTCTCCAGGCGGGCCTGCCCACACGCAGCTACGCCCACCTATGAGCACCTGGCGTGAAGACTGTTACCCATGCTATACCATGCTTCAAGAAAAATTTCATTTATTTGTCATTAGAAATAAATATTTCACAATACATAATTACACCTTGTTTTTGTGATTCATCACTGTGCTTTAATTATGTTCAATTTGTAACAAAGAAAATACATCCTGCATGTCAGATAATTACATGATGATTCATAACAGTAGCAAAATGACAGTGATGCAGTAGCAACGAAAATAATGTTATGGTTGGGGTCACCCCAACATGAGGAACGGTGTGAAAGGGTCATGGCATTAGGAAGGTTGAGAACCGCTGCTTTAGGGGATTTGAACTTCTGACCTTTCAGTTAGCCGAACCATGTCTAGGTGGTTGATGGGTTTTCATTGGCACATGAATTTGCTTCCAAGCTTCTATGGGGAAACTCTCTGGGTTGAAGGAGGAGGAGGAGGAAAAAGTAAGGGCCCTGGTGCCCGGCCTCTACTGTGAGAGTCCCTTGTCCACGTCCACTGACGTGGCAAGGCTAGGTGGCCATGCCCACTGTATTCCTGGCACAGACTCAGATTTCTTCTCTGTCTTCACAGTGCGCCTCAGAGACTTCTCGTGGACCACCACGTTCTCGATGCTGTACATCGACAATCCCGTGAGTACGCAGCCACGTCAGCGTGGGCTAGCCTTCTGTTTGTCTTTGTAGTGAGTGCATTTTTGAAAAAGGGAGGTACTGATTTCCTTCTTTTCAAAACAGAATTTAATCTATAAAATGAAAACCCTTTCGAGGCTTAGCTATTCTGTTACTGTCCATCACCCCACCGGAGTCTGGGGACTCCTTGCAGAAGGCTTCTCTTCTTTCCCCTTGCCTAATCTTAAAAGACGTTCTGCTCACAGCACTCGGTCTTCCAGGGTTAGGGGTAATTTATTCCCACTGCTGATCTAGATCCCCCATACTGGCATACTTCTGGCATGTTATCAGGAGAGACCAGTTCCCGGAGAAGAGCATCATATTGGTAAAGTAAAGGGCCAGCAGAAGAGAGGAAGGCCCTGGGTAAGATGAGTTGACACAATGGGCTAATGCACAGGAACCATCGTGAGGATGGTACAGGCCCGGGCAGTGTTTCCTTCTCTTGTGGATAGGGCCGCTATGGGTCAGAACCTACTATTCGGAACGTTTCATCTTTCCAATAGAGCCCTTGATATCAGAAGTCAAAATGCCCTCTTAGCATGGAGAGTAAAACAAAGAAGCCTCTTGGGGATGTGATTCTGAATTTGCCTCCCCAAACTGCTCAATAGGAGAGTAACTTTTAGGTCAGCTTCTGTACATTTGGAATACCTCTACCTCACGAAGTTCTCTGACTTCTCTCATTCCCCAGGATGGTTCAAAAGACAAACTGTTAAGAAAGCAAAAACAGAAAACAACACCTCAAAATTCTTGTTCTTTAGCCACCGCCCTGTATTATCAAATAGCCTATCTTAGAGCCTTGAAGGCGCTGTTGAGTAAGCCTTGGATAGCTAACTGAAAGGTTGGAGGTTCAAACTCACCAGCCACTCCTCAGGAGAAGAGATGAGGCTGTCTGCTCTCCTTTAGATTTACAACCTCAGATAGCCTCTACAGGGTCTCTATGAGTCAGAACGACACTGACGGCAGTGGCATTGGTTTTAACTGCCGATTTCACTGAAAACGGAATGGCGTGCGCTCTTGGTGGTGGTTGTTGGGATGGGGTAGGAAGTGGAGACAGGAATCTCTACATCTGGCTAGTACGGTGATCCTTCTACAAATTATTGACATGCAATTGCTAGTCACTTTTACTTTTGATCTATTTCCCAGGTGCCCATGAGTGTCTGAGTATTAGGAAATATTAGTTCAACATCATCCACAATTATTTTATTTTAAAACGCCATATCTACTGAAGGTTACGTGGCTTACTGGTCCCACTTCTCGTGAATAAAGCAAGAAATGGATGCACATAGAGCTCTCTCTCATCTCTGTTCTGATACATATGTGAGATCGAATTGTGAGGCAGGAAGTGGGGAGGGTCACGAGGGATAGCATACTTACAGTCTCCAGAGACCCCAAAGCACAGCAAACAGGGCCACTCAGAATGGAGCCACCAGGGACCAGCTAACCAGAGGTGGAAACATGCAGGGTGGGGTTTAATGAGGTCTTTCAGCTTTCCTGGGGACTGGACATTGTGAATAATTCTGCAAAGTTGTGGGGCAGATAAGTGTCCCTATTTTGGGGGTGCCCAACCCTGGGGCAATGATGATGGGTGCCTACTGGAGTGGGAGGGCCTGATAAAGGAAGTGGTTGGAAAGAGGATGTAATTAGCTGCTCAAGAAGGGGAAGAGACTAGCCTGTATACCAAGTCTCAAAACTGGGTCAAGACAGCCTGGAAAGAACATAGCATTGCAGCCTCCAGCCTAGCGAATTCCTTCCTGGTAGAACGGAGTAGTGCCCCCTGTAGGTTTCAGAGGGAAGAACACTCTGGGTCTTCTGACCCTGCAGGGCTCAGCACAGGGGACTTCCCCAAGTCAACTGACGGCAGCATCCCCACTGCTGCAGCAGGACAACTCTGCGCTGGACAATGAGGTTTCTGCTGTGCTATGGGGCCACGAGGAGGCTAGAGAGAAATAGTGATGCTTCAAACAGGGACAGTGATAGCAGAAATCTGAGGTCAGAGGTTGGCCTTGGGATGAAGGTCAGGGTCCCTCCAGGTGGGATCTGGCTGCAGGGCTCAGAGGCGTGCATTTCCGTGTGGTCACTCCTGTTCATTTATCTCGCCTCAGGTGGGCACCGGCTTCAGTTTTACTGATGATCCCCAGGGATACGCAGTCAATGAAGATGATGTGGGGAGACATTTGTACAGGTAAACTGCTGGGGCTCTCTCAGCCTTCTTCCGACCCACTGTCTTTCTATTTCATTAGAAAACCGCCGTCCAGCAGGAGAAGGGTTATTTTATTGATGCTTGTAGTACAACTCATAAATATTTGGAAAGGGTACTTTTTCCTAGGGAACAACACACACACACACACACACACACACACCTTTTTTGGGGTCCACTTTGATACAGACCTGATTAATTACAAATTGCACACAATCGATCACTGTGAAAATGCTCCCGCGAGAACATAGCAAGAAGAGCTAGATCCGTAAGGCTTGTTTTTCCTGTGGCGTCTTCTTAAGAAACAATGGACGGGAACAGAGGTTTCCTTTTCTCTCTGTCAGGTAAAGATTCATCGCAAACTTTTCAGCCAGCTGCCTGCGAGCTGTCTGCGTGCCTTCAAGCTTTATATTTAACTTTGAATTTTGCCTGAAGGTGGCTTTTCAGACCTTTGTTTGTTTGTTTGTTTGTTTGTTTGTTGTCTTTATTTCTCGGGACCTTCCCACTGTGACCTTTGAAGGTCTGTGAGCGAGACTACCTGGTGCTTTCCTGACTGCTCCTCGTGACTTCCCTGGGTTGACATCTTAGCTTGTTAACGGTCACTTCTCTTTATTTTACAAAGCTTTTCTTTGACTTAAGAAAGGAAAATGTAAAATCCTAAGCCTGATCAAACAGCATACATATAATTTATTCCTTTCTTTTTCTTACCTTCTACTTCTTTAAACTATTTTACTAGCACGTATTTCACAAATTGTACAATTCAATAGTTCAGTTACAGGCAGAAGAGTTGTACAGTCATGACCACAATCAACCTTAGAACTCTTTCGTTATTCTTGTACTGAGGATTCCCCTCCCATTCTGCTCCCCACCCGCACCCCACCCCCACCGCCTCCCCTGCCCCATCCCCAAGGAACCACCAGTCCAGTGACGGTCTCTGTAGGTTTACCTATCCTGGATTTCATACACAGAGAATCATCAAAACAAAGCAAACAACAATAAAAAGCAAAACCGATGAAAAACCTCAATCAACGGAAAAGAAAGCAGAAAATATTAAGCACTGGAACAAATTTAAAATGGATCGCAAGGGAGTTCAAATGATAAGGTGTTAAATTTTAACCTAACCGCATCTGCAAGAATCCACTTTCCAATGCACTCACTTTGGTGTCTTGTTCGTTTGTGTAAGTACAAGCGCCCTTCCTCTCCCAGCCAGACTGTCCAATGGGTACATTCTCCCTAGAGATGGGGTCCTGGATGACGAGAGCACCAGGGCACCAGTTGGCATTATCATAATTTAATCAAAGAAATCCTCCTAGTGCACAGGAAAGGTTAACTACCCTCCTCAAGACAGACAGACACACACACACACACACACACACACACACACACACACACACACCACTCATTCTGTCATTTACTGGTGCATAAACCCAATCCCAGAGGTGAAGGAGCCCATAGATCTTTGACACAATCCCCATTCCCCCTTCCTCTCCAGGACAGACAGTTCTGAAGGGAGGAATGAGAAGCCTCTGGGTCTTTGCTCAGCATCCCCTGCCTCCTCCCCCTCCTGGTCCAGAAAGGGACATGGCTGTTGCCTTTGGCACTTTGATTTTCCGCATGCCTCATTATTTTAATCTTTGTCAGTCAGTTCCCAGGGGGCCCATGCCTGGGGGCTCCCCTTTTGCTTTGGGTACACTGGTTCCTCTGAACAAGATTAGCAGCCCTTCTCTCCAGAGGCAGTGGGGGTGTTCCCCTAGTTTGTCCACCCTGGCTTGATTGCCCCACCCATTATTCAAGCACCCTGTCTTTCCCAGTTAACGCTGTGCTTTCTCCTTCCCTGGAACCTCTGCATCCCGCGCACCCCTCTTTTGGCTTCAGTCCAAATAAGTTCAGTTGTTTAACTAGCAAACACCCAGAGGGCGGAGGTTCTGTATGACAGAGAGGCATCCAGGTATCCACCCTCCTTCCAGAGGCTGGGCTCTGCAATGCCCCTGTTCCTCCCCCCCCCCCTTTTTCTTTTCTGTCTCTCTCAACCCTCCCCCAGTGATACCCGGCTTCCAGTTGACCCTGCACGGATGGTGACTGCTGACATGTGGTACAGTTCCTCTTGCATGACACGGAAAGGGGGCCTATTTCAAAGCATCCATTGTTTATAGCTGTTTTAGTTCTTTTTTTGCTCCAGGCTCCTAGAGCTGGAAAATAGCTAATCAAGGGTAGTGCAGAAAACTGATTTCAGCTGTTTCCTTTAGAGTTTGCAGTATTTATTTCCCTTTGTGACTACAGTCTCCTCTCCAGCTGCCCAGATGGGTGTCTGGAACGAGGAGGTCGCTTGGTCAATGGGCTACTGCAGATTAAAAGACTCGACTTTTCTTCTTCCTTTGAAGCCCATCGGTTCCTTTTTTGTCCCTCTGAAAATCTCATTTCTTTTGACTATAAATAGTGCAGGGCTGTGAGGGACAGACTGCTCTCGGCATTTCAGATTCACATGTATGCTGCTCTGTGTGCACGCTCAGAAATAAAACGCTTCCGCTAACAAGAGGCTTAATTATCTTAAAGATATATATTTTAAATTGTCTTTCTAGAATATAGCAGCCCTGGTGTCCTAGTTGCTGGCACAATTGTTGCTAATCACATAGTCAATAGTTTGAGCCCATTAGCCGCTCCGAGGGAGCATGAGGCGGCTTTCTGCTCGCATAAAGATGTATGCGATGTGCAGGATGTGAAGCCAGAAACCCGGAGGCAGTTCTACTTTGCTCTGTCAGCATTGCTACGGATCAGAGTGGACTTGATGGCAGTGGGGTTGGTGTTTGGGTTATCTTGAACATGTGCCAAAGCCATGGTGTCTTTCTGGTTTTAGAGGGTGGGGACACTGTACCAGGAATCCAAGCCCAATTCAAAAGAGCATTTGGCAGGAGGGATCTCATTATCGATGTCAGATGGATCTTGGCTGAAAGCTGAGAATACTAGAAAGACATTTACTTGTGTTATGGGCTAGGCAAAGGCACTTGACTACGTGGATCATAACAAACTATGGACAACATTAAGAAGAATGGGAATTCCAGAATACTCTGTACAGGTGCTCATGCAGAACCAAGAGACCCAGAAATCAGAGGCCAAGAGACACTGGTAAAGAACAAGGGGACACTGCCTCGTTTAAAGTCAAATGAGTTGTGCGTCAGGGTTGTATCCGTTCAGCATACTTATTCAATTTGCATGCTGAGCAAATCATCCTTGAAGCTGGACTAGAGGAAGAAGAACCCGGCATCAGGATTGGAGGAAGATTCATGAACAGCCCGTGGTACGTAGGTGACTCAACCTTGCTTGCTGAAAGCCTAGGAGACTGGAAGCACTTCCTGGTGATCAATGACTCCTTCCTGCAGTGTGGATCACAACTCACAGCCAGGCCCACAGACAACATCATGGTAAAGGAAGACACCAATGAAGTTGTCATGGGTTTCGTTTTATTTGAATACACAATGAGCACCCATGGCAGCAGCAGTCAAGCAACGAAAGGCCTTATCACATCGGGCGCATTGGCCGTATAAGATCAATTTAAAGTGCTAATGAGCAGGGTTGTCACTTTGAGGATTACAATGGGCCCCATCTAAGCCATGCTGCTTTCCATGGTCTCCCATGAAAGCTGGACAATGAAGAAAGAGAGCTGCAGAAGAACTGATGCACTTGAAGGATGGTGTCGGTGAAAACTGCGGAGAGCATTACGGGCTGCCAGAAGAACAGACAACGCTGCTTTGGAGGATGGGAAGCCAGAATGCTCGTTAGCAGCGAGGATGGTAAGGCTTCCTCTCGGGGACTTTGGATACATTATCAAGAGAGACCAGCCCCTAGAAAAGGGCGACCTGCCTGGCACAGTGGCTCAACACTGGGTAAAACGTAGCATGGACCAAGCAGCCGTTCAGTCCGTTGTACAGAGGGTTGCTGTGGGTCAGAGCTGACTATGCAGCACCGAGCGACAATAGCGTCTTCCTTCCACCACTACTTGCTGATCGCCTACGGTGTGCGAGGCCCCACT